GCAATTTTTATTGGCTCCGAGCCTAATTTTTGTAGATCCTTAGCCCGGGATTTTCTTGACATAAGGGAATCCCATAAGTACACACACATGTAACACAGACTTTAAATGTTTAGTACTGTACCCAGGGACTCAAAAGTTTTTGCATAACCTGGTGTTCCGAAATTCCAGTCGGCGGGTCGGATTTTTTTTTAAATCTACTGTAAATTAATAGATTCATGTTCTTTTCCAAGGTCACGCATGTTGATTTTTCGCTTTGCATAACATGGAATCATTATTTTTTTTAGCGGATCTATCGGGCAAATACGGAACGTTGAGGTCACCATCTGGTGACACCAGAAAATTTGTTGGGAAAAATTAAATACGTAGCAAAAATTGAAACAATTGGAAGTTAAAAAAAATTATTTAAAATTTGGGTCGGCGAGTTATGTAAACGAAAAATTAACTTTGTGTTGTTTTATCGTTATCCATAACCTTATTTTTTGTACTTGTGCAATTTAAAACCAGGTACGTACGTATTAGAGTTGCAGGTGAAACTAATTAATTCACCAGGTGTAACTGGTGAAACGGTGATAATGGTGATTTTTGTGAAGCTGGTGGTATTTGTGAAACCATGGTGTTTGAAACTGGTGGTATTGGTGAAAGTGCGGTGCTGGTGAAACTGGCGATATTGGTGAAACTGCAGTGTTGGTGAAATTGGTGGTATTGGTGAAACTGATGACATTGGTGAAACTGTGATATTGGTAAAACTGGTTAACCTTTTTTATTCTTATTAAACTAGCATGAATAAGATGGAATTTATGTAGCTATTTATAGTATTAGTATTACTACGTAGCAAGATTTTAGATAATGTAAAAATATTTATACAAGTTGCATATTATACTAAATATTCTTAAAAATTATTAGTAAAATAAGGTTTATTTTTTATTTTCTATTATTTTTTAATTTTTTTTATTTTTTATTTTTGTTTTTTATTTATTTTTATTTTTTATTTTTTTAACTTTGATGATCCTGCTAAATGTTTTAGTGTTTTAGTGTTCTAGTGTTTTAGTATTTTAATATTCTAGTGTTTAGCATTCTAGTTTTAGCATTCTAGTGTTCCAATATAGTAAATCTACTTAGTGCATAAGTTGTGTTTTTAATCTTTACAGAAACTTGTAAAAAATTGATAATGGTTTTAAAATTAGCAAATAGTGTTTTTAAAACATGTTCAAAATATTCTTTCCTCACAATGGGTTTACAACTAGTAATTATTATGTCATAATAATGTTTTTTAAAAAAAATGTTATTATTACATTATTACAATACTATAATTACTAATTAATAACTAGTTGTCAATTAGTAATAATTATATTATATAATATTTTTTTATAAAATAAAAAGCATTATTATAACATTATAATTACTAGTTAACAACTAGTTATTAATTAGTAATTATAATATTATAATAATATTTTTTTTTAAAAAACATTATTATAACATAATAATTACTAGTTGTAAACTCATTGTAAGGAAAAAATATTTTGAACATGTTTTAAAAAACATTATTTGCTAATTTTAAAAGCAGTACAATTTATTACAAGTTTTAGTAAAGATATTTATATAAAATACAGAAATAATAACTAGAAATGTATCAAAAATTAGCTTTAAATATATTTGTTTAAAGCTACTTTTTTAATGCATTTATAGTTTTTATTTTATATAGACATCAAGAAAACAACTTATGCACTATGCAGTTCTACCCCATTAGAACATTAGAATGCAAACATTAAAACACAAGAACATTAAAGCACTATAATATTAGAACACTAGAATACTAAAACACTAGAACATTAAAATACTAAAACATAGAACACAAACAATAGAATGCTAAAATAATAGAATACTAAAACACTAAAATACTAAAACACTAAAACATAAATACTAAAATACATTAAGTTTATTTTATATAATATCAAAAAAACAATTTATACACTATGTAAGTTTACTATATTAGAACCCTAGAACACCAAAACAGAATATTAAAAAATTACCAAAACACTAAATTACAAACTATATCACTTTGTGAATCTATTGGACATCATAATAATATTGCTGAGTATTAGCTAAGCAGTACAAATTATGCTAAATATAATAAAGTGGTATATAAATATAGAGATATTAAATTGGTCTATTAAAATTAGACTAATCCAGTCTAGTATTATTAAATATAGAACAAATTCAACATTTTGAATAATTAATCTTCAGTTTTTTGATCTGAATCAGATCACATGTAACTAATAAAAATAGAGGTTAACTAAAGTAAAATGTCTGGAATTATATAAATATATAATATATTTATTATTTCACACTGTATATGCTTTGCATAATTCGGCAAAAAAAAGTACTCAGATCATGTAGCTAAAATATGATTGGTAGATCTATGATTATAAATATAACAATAATAAAATCATAACTAATCACTCTTTAGAAATTCATTGATTTTTTAAAAAAAAATTTTAATAAACCATTTTTATAAAAAAAGCTTTTATTGTTTGTTACTGTTTATGTTATTGCTAACAAAACTAGAAGATTTGATTGAAAAAAAGTTAATATAGCTATGGCTACAGAGTATTTTGTTACAAATCCTTTTTATAAAACTAATTTTTATATAGGTGGAAAAAAACTTTTTTGTTAATTTTGTTAAACTATACTTATTTATAAAAAAAATCTATTATTGATACTTGCTATGTAAAGACTCAACCTTGAAGGCAGTTCTATCCTTTCTTAAAATCCAAGCAATAAATAAACTTAGGTAGGGGTCGATCTCTTCCTTATTACCAATTTCCTCCAACCTTTTATCAATATATCGTCGTTGTCAGACCCAAAATCGGCGAGTTTGTCATTTGATCAAGATAAGGGTGTGTAACCAAAGTTTAGATTATGTTAGGTTAAAAAAGGTGTGTTAGATTTGGTCAATCAGTTAGGTATAGTTTTGGGACAGAACTTAAACTTCATGGTAATTATAACAAGTGTGTTTATCAAATGTTTAGTGCAATATATGAGACTTAGTGGTGTATGATTTATTAGAAGTAATTAAGAGATATACAAATAGTGATTGTGTGATTTATTATAAGTAATTGTAAGATATATGAGAAGTAATTGTATGATTTAGTGATTTAATAAAAGCAAAGAAGGGAGTTGTTATTCTTAAAAATTGCTGCTTTTGCTATTTCTGCTATTTCTGACTGGGAAATCCGAATTTGGAAATAACCAGGGTCACAAGGCACAAACCGGGGATCTTCCCCAGTATTACCACCAAAATGTTACAGTCACATGACTATTAAAAAATTCTTTAAGTTCGTTTAGATTAGGGTTAGGGTTAGGATTTGGGTTAGGGTAAATGAGAGTTATAGATAAAATTGTTCAAGGAAAACTTTTTGTTAAAGCACTAAAGGTGGTTTCTTATGCTACTTTTTGAGAAACAAGCGATTTTTGACAAAGCGAACGTTTGTTTTGAATTTTCCTGATCGTGTAACGTTACACCTGATCTTGAAATCTGATTTGTTTACGCCACAAAAATTGTATGTGACTGTAACATTTTGGTGGCGATACTGGGGTAGTTCGAACCGGGGTCACGAGGCACGTGCCTGCTTCAGGTCACATTTCCGGAGCCACTTTTCAGTATTCTTGTCAGTAGTATTATTATTAGTGACCCGGGATAAATTTGTAAACCGTTGGACTTCTTGTAAATCGTCACTCATTTTTTTTAAAAATGTATATAATAAAAGGTCAATAAAAAAGTGAACGGGAAGAGTAAAGAAAAAAATTTTGTTTACTTTTATGTCGCATAATAATTCTAGTGATTAAAGAAGTGTTCTATCGCTATCGCTATTATTTTATTTAAGAAAAGGTATGCACGGGTTGTTACGTAAGACCCTTGCAATAATGTAGTTATTACACGGGTATGTAGTGAATAACTATAAATTGTTATACAAACGGGTTTGGTTATATAACCCTTATATCATATAATAATAAATTTATATGTATTTATAACCATTGATTTAAATTTTTTATTAAAATTTTCCATGTGTATATTTTTCTTGTGTTTCGTTATTAAGTGGCTGTGTACGGGAGATCTGGGTTTGGGACCGATCTTGGTTTGAGGCCATGGCAGACTAAAATGTATAAATGGTAAGGCCCGAACTAAATAAAGTTTCTCCCACTAATCATCAATATCAATTCTATAATTCTACACTTGTGGAACTATAGAATTCTACATATAGAATTCGAATTATTAATTACAATTCTACTGCATTGTACGCAGCATAGAATTATTTCTACGCATATAGAATTGATTATCCTCATCACTAGTTAGGGCACAGTAACTAAACTCTAAATTTACATGGTGCATACTGAATTATTTATTAACGTTAGATTAAGGTTTATTCTAATTCAATGTCTTCCGAACTTGAATGTCAAGATTTGATACTTGTAGAGGCGACTCCAGAACAAGCTAGAAAGTAAATGACAATTATTGCTGTTATAGCTAATTTGCTATTATTATAATTATTGTTTAAAATCTTTTCTTAATTCATTTAGTACTAATCGCAATTCATACATGAGTTGGGGCTATCCACTGTTGACTCTAGATGAATACATAGAACGTGAAGAGATACTTGCTAATCACGAATTTACTTCAGAAGATTTTAATATCTGGATTCTAGTTTCAAAAAAAAGTAATTTATCAAATGATACTGAACCAACAATCTTATCACAATGTGAAACATTCAAACTTAAAGCATTGATAACATTATCATCCGAACAAATTCAAGAAGTAAATTGTTATTATATCGGTTCTTTATTCACTCCTCCTCAGTACCGACACAAAGGTTATGCTACGAAGTTGATGGAGTTGTTGAATGATAAGTTGAGATTCGAATGCAAGGCCAAATTTTCATATTTGTACTCCAAAATTGGACCTGATTTTTATTCTAGATTAGGTTGGAAAATTTATCCTCATAAAGAGATCAAATTTAAAGTCGAAGATAGATTCTCTACACCTTTAGAACATTCTGAATTGATCGTTGAAATTAATCAATCTAACTTAGAAACTGTTATTAATAAAGATTGTGAATTTATTAAAAATAATTTAAAGAAATTGAACAAGAAAAGTATGGCTATATTACCTACTAAACCTGCATTTGACTGGTTGTTTCAAAAAACAAAATCTTATTCGAAATTTTATGCGGATACCAATGATCCAAGAAAATTTGGTGCAATGATTTTGAATAAAAAAAAAGAATCTATTAATGAGAATGAAGAATTTCTTGAACGATATATTATGTGGAATCATGATTTTATGGAAAATCAATTATTCATTATCAGATTTCGTAGTGATTCACCATATACAACACGCTTATTAATCCAACAAGCAATGCAAGAAGCTAGTAAATTTCAGTTTAAACAAATTATTTTGTGGAATCCGGATTTAAGTTTATTTAATATTTCTGAAGGTTTAAATGTCTTTGATGGTGAAGTTGTTGAAAAAACAGAGGCATTGCCATATTTATCGTGGTATGCGAATGATGACGATGATGTGGATTGGATATTTATTGAGAGATATTCCTTGTTTTAATTATTACTGTATTAAAAACGCCTTTTTTAGGAGCTTGTTAAAATTTTGATCTATATTTATTAGTATCTTTTTTAAAGTAATAGCATTCAGGTCATTTGACTCTAAAATTATTTTAACATACTAATCAGAAAAGGCTATCACACGTTAATTTCAAATTTTTATTATGACGATAAGCTGTAATTGCAGCTTTTAGTTAATACTATTACTATGAACAAAGAAATGCATAGAGATGGTTGTGATGGTAGAAATATTCAATAGCAGATAGTTAATCACACAAATTGATGTATTAATTAGGAAAATTCAAAACAAAGATTTGTTCAAAATCTGCATAATAAACTGCCTTTCATGCATTAATCAAAAGTTTTCCTTAAGAATTTGACTAGACGACCACATAACCTCTAGCTTTATCTAACTCTAAAGTATTTTCAGTCATCAAGTGCCTGTGTTTTTTTTTATGGTTACGATGGAGAAATCACCAAAGCGTGCCAAATTATTGCCTGTTATTTTGATATACTACTAGTATATATCTGATATAAGTCTGTATATTAAAAGGAAAAAATGGGTTAGCTCTAATCAAAATCTGAATAGCATGAAGGCCACGAAACATTCATTATGAGATAGCTTCACATTTTTTCATCAGGTTTTGCTGGGACCTCGATATTTGCCAGGTTTTGATATATTCATAGTTTCAACATTTCGCCAAAGGGTTTTATCTTTCATCTTTTTTGGATATAGATTCTCCTAACAATTATAATTCACAACAACTGAATTAATATGAATATAATGAATTATAGTGAGTGATATGAGTTTGAATAGCTTACCGATAATCATTATTATACTCACGAATCGATGAGCGGTATGGTAAATTGCTGTAATATTGTCATTATACTAATTGAACTAATATGAACCAAATTGAATTAGCGTATGATCTTGAATAGCTTAAATAATTTTATTGCTAGATTGCTGTATACTTAACAGCTAAATTAATGCGAATAAAATATGTCTCACATTAAATTATAGACTTGAAAATTTTGTAGCTATATACCACATATTCATGCTAAGCGTAAATCAACAGAAAAAAGAAACTGATCAAGGAAATCAGGAAAGTCTCAAACACGAATTACTATGAGATGCACTCAGCGCATTAACGCGTTATCCCTTCCTGCATAAATAAACCATAAATTCGAATATCCAGTTTGATCTCGATTTATTTTTGCAAGTAATCCGGTTTAATATCTAAATTACAGTATCTAGATATCAGGATTTTTCTCTATCGTATATACGTAGTAAATTTAATATTCTTTCATAAGCATAGAAACGTGTTGTGAAAGTTTGGCATCGCATGATGAACCGACTTCAGCTCGTTATTTTCAAAATTTTGTGCACAGTATGTATAAATGATCGTCATTCACTTTAATCGAAACAAAATCCTGTTAAAGATAAAAAGATTCATTCGCATGGTTAAACAAATCTCATACAATACGTATAACGTATACGTAAAATATGTTGATATGCATGTTTAAGTACAGGAATTCACGTTTTTACTGCGCCTTATGCATTGTACAATTAGTTATAAGATTTTATGGATGTACTTTGTAATATTACATATGATCACTTCGTTTCTGGTAGTGCTGAAAAAGAATTTGGCACAGTAATAATAACTGCAAATTCTAGGTTGATCACCGAAAGATTACTCTTTGGTAAAACTTTTAGATTTAGCGGTTATCAAGGAGCTTTCACTAGAAGTTAAAAATACGTATATGAAAAGAAAAATTAAAATTGAGTAAATTTTTTCTTTTTCAACAACTACCTATTCAAATTTGATAATTTTTTTTAAAAAAAAGAACGTTGCTATGAGTTTTTTTATTTAAGCTTAACCGATGATTCCTCAATAAATTTTTTTAATTTTACTTTGTAGAATTAAGATAAAAGAAACTTTATCAAACTTTGATAGGCAGTAGAAAAATTTGGCCGCGGCTTTTTTTTACGGATGCCTAAACTTTGAACAAAGATTACTCAACAATGACCTAAACAAATTTGATTAATTTAATTCTGAGATTATAAAATTAAATAAAAAATTTGGTCAGGTAAGTGCCAAGTAATCATTCAAAATTTAGGCACCCGTAAAAATGAGGTTACAGTCAAATTTTGCTTTAATTTTTAATCATTATTTTTCAACAACTGTCAATCAAAAATTTGATAAAGTCTTTTTTATCATAATTCTACAAATTTGTAAAATAAAATAAAAAATTTTTCATCAAAACGGATAGATGGCATCGTTTAAAGTAAATTCAAGGATTTTGATCGGAAATAATCTACAGCCTGAATTTGCACAGGATTTATGATAATTTGCTCCGGACCTCTATTAAATAAATTTTGATTTCCCAGTATTATCGTTATGTGGTATTTTGTTCCTAAAAATTACTTGTAAAACTATGTAACACTGGAGGAATGTTATCCTATGTCATTGCAGCATTACAATATATTAACACAATAGTATTAATATTGAGCATTACAGTATTCGATATAATATCACCACAGTGTTACAGCATTAGCATTATGGTGATACGGAATTACGGATCAAAGCAATTATGGTAAATACATAAAATGGTACTAGTACAGTATATACAAACAATAACTGTATTGATTTACATTAATATTAAATTCTGCTACCAACAGGGTACGATAACTCTTATTCTCACAAAACTACGCAATTTAATTTGCAACTAATGTAAGATATGGGAGTGAGTTAACAGAAAATCAAGCAAATTTTTTATAATCAAAATTTTTCTAAACTTTAAACAATAATAACTTAACCAAGTTTAGTAAAAAATTTTTAAAATAAATAATATAATTTATAGAATTAAAAAAAAAAAAAATTATTACGTATTGAATTTGGTTAGGTATTTTGAGTTTTTATCTTTATTTAAAGTTTAAAAAAAATTTTAAAAAATATCTGCTTGATTTTTATTGATTCAACTCTACATGATTAAGCCACTTGATATTTGGTTTAAAAACTTTTTCGAACATTATATAACTGATTTAAAAATTGTATTTTAAAACAATATTTGCCATCCATAATTCTCACTAGAAGTGGTCGTCCTTCATATCAGGATATACGATAATCTAGCAATATAAGAAAAAATAGTCACATGGATCATAAATCATTCATTAATTCCTTGATATTTGAGTATGTGAACGCGTCCGAAGTTGAGCGTGCTTTTCAATTAGAATTAGAAGGTTTGTTACACATAATAAAGAGTAATTTTTTATACTTTCTCCCAAAACTGAGGAATTTATTCCTATCGTTCACATCGATAGGTTTTCCACCTGAAGAAGCTTTCACGTTAGAACGATATACATATATTCAAAAGGCTGCTCCTACTTTACTCTTAGGAGCTTATCTTTCTGATTCGTCTTCAACCTCTTCCAGTAAATTATTAATCGGATTCATAATGGCAACGCTCGCAGATGCACCAAAATTTACTAAAGAATCAATGTCTTATCATAATCCTTTTGGAAAAACTGTTTGTATTCATACTGTCTGTGTAGATAAGCTATATCAAAGACGTGGAGTTGCTCTTTACATGTTAAAAGAATATATTAAGAGATTAAAAAATGAATCTCAAAATAAAGATGTAGATAGTAAATATGAAAGGATTGCGTTAATAAGTCATAAACATTTAATTCCGCTTTATCAGAAAGCCGGATTTATTTTAAAGGGTGAAAGTGAGATCGTTTATGGTAGGTTTTACCTTTTTTTATTTTTATTACGACTATATACTAAAATGCATTTATTTTATTGATAGGAAACGAACAATGGCTCGATTTTGTATTAGAGCTTTAATATTGTATTTTTATTGCCTCTTTTTCACTCTAATTTAGTTGTATAATTATATTATCAAAATATATTGATTTATTTTTGCATTACATATCTCAAAATTTGACCACTATCTTTATGACTTAGTCATACGCTATATATACTAGCTTAAAAAAATTATTTACTTTTAAATTATATTCTATTTTTCCTTTCAACAATTATGAATAAAAAATTCGAATAACATAATTTTGACTTAATAATCATCAGGAATTTCAAGCAAATTGGACAAACTATTTGTTATGTCTCGTGAATTGATGGGTTTGCTGACGTATATGTCATTCGGATGTATTGGTGATTCAATAATAGGTTTAATTTTATCAGCTTTCAAAAATTGTTTTTTTATTTTATTTTCATCATCAGAGTTTTCTATTTCTTCAATCCAATAAGTAATTAAACTATTAATAGATCGGATAGTAGGTCGACTTTTCAGGTTTGAATCCATGCATCGCTTGGCTAATTCCATATAGCAATCAGGTGTACCAGTTATAAATTCTGGTCGTAATCCATGACAAATTTTTATCGCGAGTCCGTCAAAATTATAACCATCGAAAGCCTTTCTTCCACTTGATATTTCTGTCATAATGATACCCAAAGCATAAATATCAGATGCTTGAGTATATGGTTCTCCTTGTAAAATTTCTGGGCTACATAAGGTAAAACTCCATATAATTTCGTTTTGGTATTAGAAAGTCCCAAATCTGTAATATAAGCATTATCCAAATCGTCTTGTAAAATATTTCCACTATGAAGATCTCGATGTTCTAATCCTTGTGAATGAATTGCTTCAAGATCCGACGTTATACAACTTAATAAATTTAATTTTTTTTTCCATTTAATTTGTGACACTTCGTGAAGATTATTACGTAAAGATCCCTTTTCGGCATATTTAAATATAAGGACATAATTTCCTGAATCGTCTCTTGATAGTCCGTAACATTTTAAGAACGATGGATTTTTATATCCGATCTCGCAAAATGCTTTTAATTTTTAAAAAATATTAGCAATAAATATAAATATTATATAACAAAACATGATAAATTTTTACCTCGTCGAAAAAATCTTGTCCATGAATTTTTTTAATTGCAAACGAATATTTACCAGAAGAATCTTTATAATTAAT